CCAAGAAGCAAGAATCAAGAGGATATGTATGTTATGTACCTGGAGGGCCATGAAATATAGGGCTCTGTGTCGGGGCTGCGAATCATAACCTTGTCAACTACGATCTTACATCCTTGGACATGGCATTTGCATCCACCATTATTAAGCTCCATCGCCTTCTCTACAGCGTCTGGTCCCCTAATAAAAACGAGACATGTCCTGTAAAAAAATCAATCAACCAGAAACAAGTCTTCAGTAAATTAGCATTGAAATATAAGTTGGGAAACTGCTTTGGAAGAAGAAGCCACAAACTTTTCGAGAACACTAAGTTGAACGATCTCTCCACATGAAGAGAAATGTTCAACCAGGGCCGTCCTGACAACGTCCTTAGGAAGACAAGTGTCATATCCCGTAACGATCAACCTATATATATAATAATAATTTTGTATCNAATTAACATGACAAGAAGAAGACATCTTATAATACAATACAGATAGTAATCTCCAAGAATCTACTTACCTGTGTGTTTCGTATTTGCGTATGAGGTATCCTTTAGGACCCATAATGAATTCATTGAAAATCCTATTTGATTGCAAAAGATAATGTTATCAACACATGACAAGCGAAGAAAGAAAACATCTTACATATACAAAATCTCCACACACACACACACAAAAATAAATAATATACTTACTTTGATTCCGGCAATTTCAGACCCTAGGTTTACGAAAGATCTAATTAGAAATTGTAACACTTTGGAATAATTTTCTTCTTGTGAAGAAAGCATCAATAGAGAAACAGAAACATAGATTGAAGAGTGAGTATAAAGAGAAGAAGATTACTTTCTGCATGGCCAAGTTGAGAGAAGAACCAACGACTGCTAGGTTTTCGAGAGGCAATATTGGGTTCGATTGGTAATGGCTGTAACTTTATTTTCTTTGGTGTAGAATTTTATTTTCTTTGGTGTAGAATTTAGACTGTAGATTTTTTTGTGGTAGCTGTAAGATTTTAGCTGTGGTTATTAGAAATAAAAACATGGTTGGTAAATTTATATATTCTGTTAATTTATTTTTTAGGTGTGAGAAAAAATGATATTACGTTTACGAAAAGAAAAATTATATTAACTACGAATTGTAATTTTAAATAATTAATAAGTAACATATGTAATACTTTTTAATCATTTAGGTAAACTG